TCATTGTCGTAAACGCGGCGCGGATTACTGTAATAGAAAACCATGCCATTAGCGTTATTTCCTTTCTTGTAGCCTGATATGCCAGCTTGTCCACAATTTCGGTCAATCGCCCTTGTTGCATCAGAAATGAAACCATTTCTAGTAGGAATCTCGCCTTTCTTTTCTCTCTTTGAAGGTATGAGTCTTACTCGATGTGATTTTTCCCGATAATGATCTGCTTATACATATCAGCACACTTCAATCGTTCATCCATCCAGTCCTTATTGCGATTTTTAAAGTCCTTGAAAACTCTAAATCTTTGCTAAAGGATATGGCAAGAGAAGAATCCTTACAATAAAATTGTCGCGCACACCACTGAATCTCAAAATGTTTTCGAAATACAATATTCTGTGCTTTATCGACTTTTTGATGTCGTCTGCAACTTCGGCTAACATCATCGGCCAAATCTTGAAGTTTTTCCTCTATAAACAAGTTATAAGTCTGAGTAGTTACATAAATCGTATTATTTGAAAGAACATTGCGAAGTTTTGTTTCATTTGGGAAATGATATGTGTACCAACCTCCTCTTTCGCAACTGCTTTGCGATGAGTATGGTGGAGAGGTGATATCTTCAAATTTGTCATTGTTAAACGCTTTCCACCTCCAAATGTTCCGATTCCCAAACGTCGCCGCTCCAGCTCATTTCTCATTATGTACGCTATGCTAAAGTTGTAGAGCATTGTCGCAATGAGCGTGCTTTGGGTTTTCACTGTAGTTAATGTGCTATAAATGAAATTTGAAACTTGAATGAAAATGATGCAGGTCAAAGCCACTGAAAAAGGATGCACTCTTTCTTCCACTATAATTTGCTTCACGATGCGTTTCCTTTAACGCCTAAGACGATTACTGTAGAAACGCAATTGAAAAGCGCTTCTGTCTTATCAGAATCCACACTTCATTGAAAATCAACGGGGAAGGATTTCATGCTTCCTTTTACCCATGGTCAAATCAAATAGTTTAGCGCAAAATTTTAACACCTTCCTGACATGTCGTGCAAAAACTATCCTAAACTTACTCTAATTTAACCTCACTACAAGACCCTATAGTGTGGAATAAACAAGATTTTCAAAATCACTGTGTCTTTCCACATCTTTAGGCGAAAATTCAGGAAAATCCATTTTTTGAAAATTTTGAGGTAAATTATGTGGATAGTGACGCTATCGACTGCGTCGCATACGGTCGCATGC